AAGAAGAAGAAGAAGAAGAAGAAGAAGAAGAAGAAGAAGAAGAAGAAGAAAAGGAAAAAACCCAGATTGAAGTAGAAAAAATATTTTCAACAAAATTGTAAAAGATAAGTTCCCTAGCCTAAAAATGAGATTCCTAAAAGAAACAAGAAACATACAGAAAGCCAAATAAATTGGACCAGAAAAAACAGTCTCCTCCAAACGTAATAACCAAAACACTAAATGTACAGAACAAAGAAAGAATATTAAAAGCTGCAAGAGAAAAAGACCAAGTAACTTATAAAGGAAGACCTATTAGAATTATACCTGATTTCTCAATTGATAATCTAAAAGGCAGAAGGGCCTGGATAGATGTTGTACTAACTCTAAAAATACCACAGATGCCAGCCTAGACTAATACACTTAGCAAAATTTTCAGCGCAAAAGATGGAAAAATAAGACAGCCCATGATAAAACCTAATTTAAGCAATATCTATCTACAAATCTAGTCCTACAGAAGGTGCTAGAAGGAAAACTCTAACTTAAAGAGGTTAGCGTTCATTCAAGAAAACAAAAGTAACAATAATCCAGACCAGCATATCAAAAAAAGAGGATACACAAAATACATACACAAAAATACCACAACAGCAAAATAACACTACTCACTGATATCCCTCAACGTTAATGGTCTTAATTTCCCAATAAAGAACAGACTAACAGTATGGTTGTTAAAAAGGATCCATCCTTCTGCTGCCTCCAAGAAACATACCTTAACATAAAGGATAAAAGGATAGAAAAGATATTCCAAACAAATGAACCTAAGGAGCAAGCTGGTATAGTCATTTTAATATAGTTATACTTCAAACCAAAACTATTCAAAAGAGATAGAGAAAGACAACACATATTCATCAAAGAAAAATCCACCAAGAGGACATCAAAATTCTTAACATTTATGTGCTAAACACAAGGGTACCCAAGTTCATAAAAGAAACACTACTACTGCTTAAATCGCATATTGACCCTCACACACCGAAAGTCGGAGCCTTCTATACACAACTCTCACTAATAAACAGATCATCCAGACAAAAACTGAACAGGGAAATCCTGGAGCTAACTAACATTATAAACTAAATAGACCTAACAGATATTTACAAAAAATTTTACCCAAACACAAAAGAATATAGCTTCTTCTCATCAGCTCATGAAACTTCTCCAAAACTGACTATAAGCTTGAACACAAGGCAAGTCTCAACAGATACAAGAAAATTGAAATAACACTCTGCATCCTATCTGACCACCACAGATTAAATCTGGGTGCCAATAACAGCAGAAAAGGAAAAAAAGAAGTCTGGGTCTAGAGAGATAAAGAGATAGCCTAACTGTTAAGAGCACTGGATGCTTTTTCAAAGAACCCGTGTTTAATTCCCAGCACCCACATGGCAGCTCAAAACTGTCTGTAACTCCAGTTTCAGGGGATCTGACACCCACGAAGGCAAAACATCAATGCACATTAAGATAGATAGATAGATAGATAGATAGATAGATAGATAGATAGATAGATAGATAGATA